AACATGATAGCTTTAATGAGATGGCCGCATATGAAGGACTATCATTAGTACTGAGAGGCAGCAGCCTGGTGATTGCAGTGATTTGGCTCCGCTCTTTTTGACCTGTCCGACCAATCAGAATACCTCAAGAGCTCATTCAGAGCCCATGCAATCAGCCACCACATTGGCCCACTTAGCAACAGCCGCCCAGTAAAACGGAGTATACATGTAAGAACAATGTTCTTCAGCAATCATATGCAACAGATGCAGAATATGACAGAATTTTCTTTCTCTTTTTTTCCACAGGGATGGGTGAACTGTTGCTTTAAACAACCTGGAAGCAATGCTAGTGATTCTATGTAGGGTTAATGGTAGGTGTGATAAGAGGCTTAGAAAGAGGAAACACAAATAGCAACACCCACGTTATTCAATCTGACTTGTATTTTCCAAACTCTTTAGTCTGAGATAGAGGAAAACAAGTTCCATCAACCTATCTTCAGTCTTCCCGCTTGATACAAGCAGATAACCCATTATGAGAATGGCAGGCTGAAACCCTGTCACCTTTGTCCATGCCTTTCTCTAAGGAAAAAGCAAGAAGAGTTTGTTTCTAAAGGTGATTGTAGCAGTGATAAGGGAGCAGTTCTTATTAGGGGTGACAGCAAAGAGGCTGTGGCGGCAGTACTGACTGGATAACCTTGTGCCTGCTCACCCTTCTGCGCCAGGCTCCTCTGCCTTGCCTCGGTGGGGACACAATCTGCTGGCTGGAATTACCTCGCAGCTGGAGGAAAACTAAACATGATTTCTGACCTTTACTTCTTGTGTTCAACAGTAACCTTTGGTGGTCCGCTTGCACAGGCGGGCTGAAATGAATTCCCGACCGCTGCGCGTGCAATTACGTGCATGTTGAGGCTGAGAATGACGAGAAAATCAGTGGTTGAAAGATGTTCCTTGAGGTGCCGTCCTCTGTCTGGGAATCTGCTGGCTTGAAATGTTAATTGAAGTCAAATTGCTTCTACAGTGTTTGGAAACTTTAAGATACAAGGTACCTTATTTCTGATCCCCCAAATGTAGACGCTAAAGCTAATGCAAACTAAAGCTAAAAATATGGATATTTTTCTACACAAACGCATCGACTCACTTCAGGAGGCCTTTATTACCCCCTGGAGCCGTGTGGAGCATTTTTTTTATGATGGATGGATGCACTTTTTTGGGCTTTAAAATCTCAACACCCATTCACTGCCATTATAAAGCTTGAAGAGCCAGGACATTTTTTTTATATAACTCAGATTGTATTCGTCTGAAAGAAGAAAGTAACACACACCTAGGATGGCTTGAGGGTGAGTAAATCTTGGGGTCATTTTCATTTTTGGGTGAACTATCCCTTTAACATTCTGTTTGAAACTATATATTTACGGAGCAGATGCCATGATATATCTTGAGCTACTTTATTTCCGCTGTGCCAAATGTAGCTGGTAATGCTACTGCAAACATTGATACTCTGATAGAAATGCTATGTGAATATGGATGACTCATAGAATACTCACAACAAGGTGGATGGGTTTTTAAACATGCAATGTAGCCAATGTTTGTGTGTGAAGAGGATTAGCATATATTTTTCAGACATTTGAACCATCAAAGTGTAACTGAAAGGAGTAATCTGGACCCTTTTTCCCTTTTCTGAGGAAAAGCTATAATTACGTCTGCCGTACTTGTTGTTTTGTGCTTATTACAAGTTTATTCCGCCAACAACTTCTTTTAGCATGCAAGCTAGCACGCATGAGCATGTTGAAAGAGGGTTCCTTCCGATGAACTCATTATTTCCGCAGTGCTCACCCCACTCACTGATACACTCCACATCTACCTCTGACTGTCACATCCGAGCAAATTCATGCAATCATGCCCACTATCCTTTAGACTGGAGATAATGCAGGCATGGTGAAGTGCGGCTAAATCTTAACCATAAGTGGAACCTAGCAGTTAATCAAGGCGCTGAGGGGAAAATTAACCTATTCCATTTTATTTGAGAGGCTGAGCATGTGCATGTTTTTCAATATGTGTTGAAGCACAAGATTGTGGCAAAATTTTCATTTGACATAAATTGGAACTTAATTCCAAATGTAAGGCCAGGATTCTAAATATGTCCATGATATGCACAAGAACATGCACAGAATACATGTGGTTAAGGGGAACAGGAGGATCGCCAACAACTGCTTCCATGGACTGAGTTTTGGAAAATCCATATACTGTACTGACTGGCCTGTGTGGAGTAATTCTATGTTATTTCTAGGCTAGGAGGGAAAATTAAGACATGAAACCCGTCACTGAGATGATTCCACTAAAATCAAGATGGGCAAGATGGTTAGTGTTGGGGTATCTGCTCAAAGGGGTGGGACTTTGGGGGGGTATAAGATCAAAGTGACTAAAGCTGATTTATCCTGTGTTAGGGCTCAAATGCCTCTGAGAGGCATTGAACAGCCCTTCAAAAAGCAATAGCAGCCACCTTTATATCCAGCCTGTGCCAGTCATCAGGCCTGCCTGTGAAGCAAAATCAATCTGTTTCATATCGGAGATACCAGGGGAGAGGGAGAGAGAGTGTGTATGTGAGTGTACAATCTGTCCCCAAAGCTCTTTTTAATGACACATGCTGCATAACAGAGCAAGGATAGAAAAGTGTTCAATAAGGCAAACATGCTGTTATCTGGAGATGAGGACTAATATAAAAAGGTTCAGATGGTACAGAGGGAGTTGTCAATCAAACACACTTTAATTTCTATTTTCAAATTCCCTTCCTTTTCTGCTCAGCATGGACACACTTGCTTGGGCAGAAGTCCTTTAAATTTTTGCTAACAAAACAGCCTTGGTACAAGAACCACCCAAACAGCAAGCCATGGAATATTAGCGCACGGCCAAAAGCATGTGGTTGGCAATGGTTACAACCACTTAAGGCGCCCTCATAAATGAAAAAATACTCACTTTTATCAGGCAGCACGCTGTTCTTTTAATGATAACCCACAATATTAATTTAACTAGGCAGCATGTCAATCAGGTGACCCGTCCAGGAGATTCCTTCTAATTCATGACCGCATACAGATTGAACTTTTTTTTTTTTAAAGCATCTAGAAGAACAATTTAATCACATTTGCTCTATAGACTTAATAACCACTGACAGAAAGTCCTTGTGGGGAAGATTCCATGAGGTTTAGAAGGTCTTTTCCTTTGTTTTTCTTTGAACAGGTGTGGTGACATTTCAACCACTTAATGAGATTATGAGCATAATTAGAACTGGAGCCACTGAGGGTCCCAACAGTCAACCCACTTGAACTCGAGAGAATAACCAGTGTCCGTCTGGGTGCCACCTCGGAATTAGAGAGAGTAACGTAATTAAGTCCTAACGCATGGATCCTCAGCTACCTTAGGGACTAGAGGACGGGGGGGGGGCCCATGAAGAAAAAGTAGCGCATATAGCTAGCAAGCACTGCCTAAAGCAGTAGCAAGTCTGTCAAAGCAGGACACTCTAGGATTGGCCTAGGGTTGGGAAAGAAATCCCCGGCAACCATTAAAGTCACAACAGTGTTGGATTGCTCCTGGGGTGCTACTCTGAACTGTTCATTTAGGATGATGTGCAACTATTGGGCCTGACCTAAGCACACTTTCCATCTCCAACATGGCCACCGAGAGGAAGGCAATAAGGGACCCAAGGAAACCCAATGGGTGCCTAGGGAGCGCTAAGGCTGGCCACTCACAGGGAAGTCCAAAGACAGCAAAGTGTCAGAGTCAATGCGAACACACACACCTCCACAATGGCAAAATCAATGGGGTTTTATGAGGCATCAATCTCGTCTACAAAGGCCTGCATGTCTACTGCTGGGATGGACCATTTGGATGTGGGACTTTGACATTCAACATTTCCCAAAAATTGCCAGTGAAAACTTTTTGAGATTTTGTTGACCCATGCCTGATGGTTTATGTCATTCCCTTAAATATTATTTTGTCTGCCAGGTGGTCATATCTATCTATCTATCTATCTATCTATCTATCTATCTGCAACTCTGCTTTAAGAGGGCCACTGCCTTGCAGATTTTAGTTCCAAATTATCCAAAGAGATTGTTCAGGTGTGTTTGATTAGGGCTGGAACTGAAATCTGCAGGAGAGTGGTCCCACAGGTGAAGAGTTGCCAATCCCTGGTTTAGACCATCAGAAGAAAAAAAAGTAGAGCTGGAAAAATACCTATTTTGCTCTCTTTTACACCTGTTCAAGTTCAATAAATCCTCCACCACAAGATGTTTGTGTGGGTGATTTCAATAGACAGATCTATTTACAGTAAACATGCTAGAGACCCAGAGTTAAGGGTCTTGGCAAGTGTCCTGCAATATAATTGATTGTTAGGCAAGTTGTGCATCCTCGGCCAACCTCTCTCTACCTTCCCCCCAACATCTATCCCTATGGCATTTACACCTTTTGTTTACAATATGCCCCTTGATTTGACCAGAAATCAAGTTGGGGGTCTGGGACTCAGGGCTCCCGTTTCAATATCTAAGCTAATTACTTTTTAATTTACAGTGTGTTGTTAATAGGTTTGGCAAGGGGAGCAAGGTTAGACAGGCAGCAGAAGCCACTTCCCTTCCGTTCACTAGCACCACAGCCTCCTTAATTAAAATGAATAATCTGGGCATCCATCAGATAGACTGAGAGAGAGTCAGAGAAAGAGAATTGTAAAGATAGGAAGGTAGGTGAGTAAAAGCCCTGCTGAAAAGATCCCATGCAAAGTTATGATAATTTAGCAGGTGGATCTGTTTTAGACCAACACGATCCTTCTGGAACTAACTGACTGAAAATGTCTAAATGCCTGGTGGGTTCATCAGTACACCAAGATCTCATATTGGGTACCAGCATCCAAAACACAACACAACACTGGTGGGCAGTTTTGCTGATATTTTCAGCAGGGAGAAAGGCAAGTAAAGTTCATGTACGTTCATACAAAAGATACATCAAGAAAAAAATAAAAGAACAAGACAATCTACCTCCACGGCTCTCGCTGTCAGCTGGCTTCACCTGGATGGGGCGAGTCATCTGGAAGAAGAAAAAAGGTACAGACAAGACAAGGGGTTAGTTCAGGCATAGGCAACCACTGTCGCTACAATAAGCCAACAAACTATTGAGCCTATGTCCGTCCCAAAAAATCCTAAGTTTTGATCAAATGCAAAGATCCACATGTCGGTTTGCAGGGCACATGGCATCTCTTAAACATACAAAATACAAGAGTGGTGATTTGTACCATCATGTCTTCAGTTTACCCGCACACTGTTTCTATTTTTGACATGCTACTCCAGGCACAACTCTTGTTCTCTCCATCTGAAATAGAAGCATTTACAAATATTCTGTGTTTGCATTGACTACCATTTTATTTAAGCATTCAATCAGTGCCAGGGCCTATGGGGACATGGCCAGGTTTCTAATCGTACCTCCAGACAAAACCCTAAAGGCACCCCTGATTTCTATTACCTGGTCTCTTGTCAGGTAAGTCAGTTCACTCAGAAACCATATTACTAATGATCCGGGCAGCTACTGTAGGTGCAGCTCTCATCTACTTCCATAGGTAAAGACTGAAATCTCTAAAACTTTTAGCCAAAATTACACTTCCAAATCAGGAATCGAATATGACAAGCATAAAATTAGCTTCTTTAGCTTAAAGTCCATCTGCCCTCAAAAAATCTATGGTCTCATCAGCAAGCTTTTTTGTGTTTGCTTCGCAGTGCTCACTTGGTTATAGTCTCTAGAGATGGTGGCAAGGAGGAAGTGAAATGCAACAACAATTAAAGTGGAGGCAGTCGCAAGAGAGAGAGAGAGAAAGAGATCAATGAAGCCCTATTGATCCCTGCCCCTTAGGCTGTGGAGAGTGTCTGGCAAGGAGGGATTCTGTGGGTAGAAGGCTCACGGTAATCTACTAAAGCCTGATAAGAATGGCATTTGTTGGATTAGATGCCTCTGTCATCACAGTTTTTGTGCTCCGTATTTCGCTCAACAATTTTTTTTCCCATTATCCCCGTAAAGGTTGAAGTTTTCTTGACTGGTTATTATTCTACAAACTTGAGCAAAACAGAAATAAATATATTTTTTTTTGTTTGTTTGTTTGTTTTTCTTCTTTTGCCAATCGTTCAAGGATTCAAACGGATTTTGCTGCAGAACCAAAGGATGTTCAAAGGGTTTTTTTGTTCTCCCATTTATTCCTACCTGGGGATGTAATGTAGAAAGGAATACTGTAAGTGCGGACTATTGGAGCAGTACAGCAACTTTATAAAGTGACTATTTTATGTCCTTTCCATCAGGGTTCATTTTGTGATGGTGTATATTTGATTCATTTTCATAAATGCTGATTAATATAGAGTTTTAAAGATATGGCTACATTAAAGAGTACTTTCTTTAATTGTTGAAAAACAGGGCAGATTCTGTCCTAAAGGCCTATTTTACACTATAACATCCATTCCCAAGCATTGTAATCCAATGGGAGCTTTATATCGATCCAAAACAAACTGCTAATAGCAACACAGCAGGCCCAGTTTGCATGAAAAAGGGCCAAGAGCTGTGCAGAGATTTGCGACAAGATTACCCAAATTTACGAAGTGCCCTTTGCAGGCTCCCCAGCCATCTGTAACCTGAAATTAAGCCTTTTTGAATGCTGCAGCAACTTTTGTCTCATGTCGACGCCAACTCAAGCTCCAGGGAAACGTTTGAGATACGACAGGATCAACATTTTCTCTTTCTCCTCAACATATTTTCTTTTACTGTCCAATTGTGGGGGGGAGCAAACTGAAAAAGGTCGGTTTTAAAGACAGGCCAGTCCCATAAAAGCATGACTTGTTCAAGGAGAAACACCATAATGGGATTTTAAAATGCCTTAATAACATGCTGATATATGAGGAAGAGGGCCAGGCCAGATTCATTAAGTGTTAAATGTATCCATTTTCACCTTGAGGAACCGAATAACCTTCCTCTGAGAAATTATTCCATAAATTTATCCATCGTAAATAATAACTAGCAGGGTCTTTGTGCGAAGAGGAAAAGGCAAAAGATGTAATTCTTCTGAAGGTCGGAGTTCAGTAGCTTTGTCTTACACTTCGGTTAAAGGAAAAGTTCAAAAGAAATAAAATTGTCTATTTGAAATTGCGATGAACAGACGTTCTCAAGCATAAAGACAAGAACAATCCAATAGACATAATTGTGAGATATAACCATTCCAAACAAATTTGACAAACACAAACAGTGGCCCACATTAGACAAAACAGACGCTTTTATAGATACATCGCAATATGCATGCAACTCTGTGGATGCAATGCCTGGTAATAAAGGAGATTCTGTTTTGCAAGGGAATGCATTCAGAACTACCTCACATCTGTAAACGCCATCAGTGAGATGTATTCCTAACACATTGGACTTTCGTGTGTGGTTTATGGATTCACCTCTCTAACTAGTCACTGTCCTGGTCATAAAATGCTGGTGTAATGGTCCATTTGTTTTCCTAAGAGCAATGTGTTTCTCCCTTGTACATTTAGTATTGACGGAACTCAGTTTATTGCATTTTTCTCACCTCTAATGGGATGGAGTACACTTCAGGTACACACATTTACACACACACACAGAGAGATAGAGAGAGAGAGAGAGAATACGTTATGCCATAGGTGTAAGTTATCAAGCTATCAAATAAAGTAAATATAATACATTATAATATAATTAATCAAAAATAAAATATATGAATAATTAAACATGATCTTTGAATATTTTGTGATAAATAGTTTATATAATATCTGTAGGAGAGTATTTGCCATTAAAAAAAATAAAAAATACTATGGAAGTCAATGGGGACCAAAAATCTTTTTGGGTGAGCTATCCCTGTAACTAACACAAACTAAAACTGTTAAAAATAATTTTATTAATTAAAATAAAGCCGACATAAAATCTAAATATTAAATGAAAAACTTGAAATGCAGCCTTGGCAACTATTTGAAATAAAATAAGTTTAGTGTCGTTTGAAATACTAAAATGACTAAAACTAAACCTGAAATAAAAATAAAGTTTGATGAAATATTTAAAAAAAAAAAAAAACTAATAAAAATGACAAAAGGGCATAAAATACAAAAACTTTAACTTTAACATGAAAACTGAAAATCTAAAAATATTAAAGCTAATTCAAACTATTAATTAATACTATAATTGTATATAAATAATAATAAATTTTTTTTTTTTTTTAAACATTGAATTGTTTTTTTAACTCGGCCTCCTAACTATTTGAGACAACATTTATTTCTGTCCAAGTATAAATAAATAAGTAAATAAATAAGATTACAAAATCAAGGATTTTTTAATTACATCTTGAATATGGTTGCATCACTTCAGCAAACAATTTCATAAAGTGGTGGGGACATAATCGACAAAGGCCATCATATCCATAAATGCCCTCTATGCTGTAAACACGCAAATTTCACACACATTTACATGCACCAGAAACAAAACGACTAGCAGCTGACAAACTTGTGCTGTCGACAGGGAAAGCATTAATTTAGCTTCAGTCCTGAGAGAGTTCACTACGCCTCTCTGCTGCTTTTGTGCCTTTATTGCCCAAGCGTTCTTTACTCATAAGATAAAACGAATGAGTTCGCCTTATGCTGCGTTCCTTGCAAAAAACAACAACAACAACACCATGTTCTAATTGTGATAGATTCAAGGTTTCCACACTCGGACTGGTGAATGCACAGAGGTCCAGGACAAAAACAGACGGATGGAGGGGGTTGTAGAGGATGGAAGGCCAAGGAGAACTGCCTGCAACTGCCAGATAAGATTGCTTCTTAGTTGAGTGGCATTTCCAGAGCCGTGACTCCACCCTATTGCTCCCCCACATGGGCAGATAGACTTGTGCTGGCGGAAACGCACACTTATACGTTTCCCGCCTGCAGCAAAAGTCCCTGTGTTTGCCAATCTGTTGTTTAAACTCAGCGGAACAATTCAAATCCCCACGTCCCAACAGGAGTGTGTCAGCTGCATCTCGTTTGGGATGATGCACACGATCCTTTGGTCCCCAGCAATCCCGACCGGCGCGTTCGGGAATGCATTCTTCGGGATTTCTGATGTAGCTACGGGACCAACTGTCTCTTTGTCCTTGTCATCTGTTTCTTTAAGCACACAATACTCGATAATCATGTTGTTTGCTGTGCTGCCGTCTTTCAAAAGGGGGAGCTATCAAACAGGGTAAACAAAATACAGTGGGGGATATGAAACAGCCATTCTCCTGAGAGACAGTCTGTTCTCCTGTAGTGATGTTTGATTAGGCACCGCTGTGCTGGGGTAGATAGAAATCCAGAACAAGCTGCTCCGAGCAAATCGGGACTGTGCCTGGTTGCCTCCGTCTATGATGAATGTGAAATAATTCCCATATTTGTTTTACGCTATTCTGTCATAAATTGCATGCAGGACAAACAGTCAACATGGATTAAATGTATGGTTTGCTGTGGTTTTACAAACTGTGAATGAGAAAAAGACATTGTTTTCCATAGCAGCCAAACAAGGATGTTTATAGTACACTATTTTTTTTCCAGGTCAGTGGCGTCCTGAGTCGCGGCTTGCAGAATCCTGTTAAAAACCGACTTTGAGCTTTGCTCACCTGCTGGGTTTCATGTTCAAAAGGCGTTTCGCACCACATCCCTTTTTTCATTCACATGCATTATTAAAATATTTCACAACTTATAACAGTTCAATGCTATGGCTGAAAAAAAAAAAACGTACTGATCCCAAACTTTACATATAGTTAACAAAAAATTGCTGTGAAAAAAAAAAATCGATATTTTTGTTGACTCACATAAAAAAAATTAAACTAAACGCTGCATATGTTCTCTAAAATACCCTAACACGATAGTAGACAATGCTAATATTTGACTAATTAATTTTAAACAACAACTATAAACAATTATTAAACAACAAATAAATAAATAAAAATATAGCAACCCTGCTGTGAACAAGCTTGTCTAATTAAGAGTCGGGCGTCTTATGCGTTTGTGTGTATGTGTGTGAGGCAGAGAGTG